TCCAAAATAGACACACAAATGGCCAACAAGTATATGAAAATGTGCTCGACATCACTAATCATCAGAGAAATGCAAATTAAAACCACAATGTGAAGTCACCTCACACCTGTTGGGATGGCTATTATCCAAAAGAAAAAAAAAAATACCGCAGGGAAGGATGGTGTAGAGGAAAGGTAATTTCTTGTGCGCCATTGGTGGGAGTGTAAGTTGGTGCAGCCGCTATGGAAAACAGTATGGGGGTTCCTCAAAGAATTGAAAATAAGATTACCATGTGATCCACCAATCCCACTTCTGGGTATTTATTCAAAGAAGTTGAGATCAGGATCTCAAAGTGATACCTGCACTCCCATGTTCACTGCAGGGTTATTTACAATGGCCAAGAGATGGAAACAATCTAAATAAATGTCCATTGACAGATGAATGGGATAAGGAAAACATATATATGTGTGCATATATATATGTATACACGCACACATACATACAATGGAATATTATCCAAGCTTAAAAAAGAAAGAAATTCTGCCATTTGTGATAAAATGGTTGAGTTTGGAGGGCATTATGCTAAGTGAAATAAGCCTGACACAGAAGGACAAATACTACATAATGCCATTTCTAAGAGAAATCTAAATAGTCAAACTCAAAGAAGCACAGAGTAGAATAGTGGCTCCCAGGGGATGGGGTAGGGAGAAATGAGGAGACGTTACTCAAAGGGTACAAACTTTTAGTTATGCAAGATCCTAGATGCCTAGAGATCTACTGTACAAAATAGTGGCAAACCACATTCTGCTTTAAGGGTGAATCCTGTCTTTGTGTTGCATTAGATTATCTTCTGTGTGTTGGCTACATGAAGAGAAATTTTGTGATTAAGCACAACAGAGTTATAAATTAAAACACAAATCTTATTTTAAACATTAATAAGACATTGTTATTTTTATAAAGTAATTTGTATCCTTATATTGATTGTGTCAGGGGAGTAATTATCTTTATAAGAATTATAATGATTGAATTTTTATGTAGGAAGATAGAATGATTACAAATTAAGAAAGTGTATATTAAAATGAATACATTTGTGAGGATACAATCAGTTTTACCAAGTAAAAGACCATATTTCTTGGGTATAATTTTCCATTTTATATATAGCCGAACGCCACTGGTTAAGGGGGATAGTATCTTCAAAGCACGTTCTTATTCTACAAATGACACAGAGGACTCTAATGCTTCTACCTTTAAAAACAAGAGTAATTGCCATGTGCTTAGAAAGCACAGTTTAATGGACCTTGAGAAATTTAACAGAAGACCATGTGGGAGGGGAAGGGGAAAAAAAAAGTTACAGGGAGGGAGGGAGGCAAACCGTAAGAGACCCTTAAAAACTGAGAATAAACTGAGGGTTGATGGGGGCTGGGAGGGAGGGGAGGGTGGGTGATGGGCATTGAGGAGGGCACCTGTTGGGATGAGCACTGGGTATTGTATGGAAGCCAATTTGTCAATAAATTATTAAAAATAATGTTTCTTATTAATCAGCCATCTTGCTTTCAATTAGCTCTTCATCTAAAACTTCCATCTTTATTGTACTGATACATGGACCTATTTTCACTGGTTACTTTTTTTGCCATTGAATGTCTAATCCGAGCCTCCTTAGGAGGCACGAAATATGTCTCATGAAAATGGTATCTTCTAGTCATTTTCCTCATAAGACCATTGAACTAGAAATGACAGTATTTTAGTCATTATTGTTTAACTTACATTTCCTTGTCAGTGTCTAACTTCACATTCCTTACTTTTCCTGTTCTTTAGATGTTTACTTAATCCTGAATGGTCTATTTTATCTAGAGTATTTCTGTTAGATAACAGCAGGCTTTCATGCCTGTGTTAAATTTCACTCCATGCCTTAAATATCAACATCTTATTCCACTGTCTACCGAAATCATGGAAAGAGGCAGAACAGTGTTTCTGAAAACACAAGATCTCAGAAATCAGACTGAACTAAGTTTGATCTGATTG